CTTGACTTCCAGGCAGGATGAGGTTTGTTCCAAGGGTGTGGTGCAGTGCAACCTCTGGAGCAATGGTCCCCAGAGTATGGGATACTGTGATTAAAAATTAAAGGTGTGCTGGTTCACAAACAGCAGGAATCCATTGCCTGAAGTTCTAGAGGCTGGGGAAGTAAGCAGAGCACCACCATGATCATGACCTCATGAGAAATCTCCTTCTGGTCCTCTCTCCTGTGGTCACATGGTAGAAGACCCAGGCAGTGCTCTTGTGCCCTCTTGTATAAGGGGAGCTGACCCCATTCATGAGGGCTACACCCGTGACCCAGGCACCTCCCTGGCCCTTCTAATCCAGTTGTCGCCAGGCTTTGGTGTCATCGTGGGAGGTTCAGTCTATTGCAGGACACATGCTGTCCTGCACACAGAGAAGCAAGCTTTCCCCAGGACAAATGCCTCAGCCATACAGGACTTTGTCAAGCTCTCTGGAAGCTAGGAGGGCTCTGCCCATTCGCAACTGTGTGGTCTTGGACACCCACACCTCAGCGCTTCAGTGTACCCATTGGTTATGTGGAGATGGTTACAGATGGTTACAGTCACCTCAGCTGCTTTGAGGACCAGTGAGCCGCCATAGATCCATGGGTATCTGGCTGGTAGTAGACCTTCCTATCAGGCACATAGCAGGAGTTAATAGTACTTTCTTCATCCTTCTTCAGTATCACTGCCCTGACTTACCTACCCTGCTTGTCCACCATTCCAGGCACTATAGATCCAAAGTTGGTTTTTGGGCTGTAAGATCATACTGGTCACAGGGTCATTATTACATATCCTACCTTAGAAAATTGGCCTGCCTTCTGCCTTCTTCCCTTCCTTCCCTTCCTTCCCTTCCTTCCCTTCCTTCCCTTCCTTCCCTTCTCCCTTCCCTTCCCTCCCCTCCCCTCCCCTTCCTTTCCTCTTCCCTCCTTCCCCTCCCCTCCCCTTCCCTTCCCCTCTTCTCTTTCTCCTCCCTTCCCTCCCTTCCTGCTTTTTTTCTATTTTTTTTTCTGGTGCTGGGGCTCCTGGGGCTCAAACCCAGGGCCTCAAATGCTGGGTAAGTGCTTTATCACTAAGCTACCCAAAGCCAACCCCTTTTCCCTTCCATTACCCTCCCTTCCATCGCCACTCACCACTTCACCTCAAATGCAGCTTCCCTGTCACCAACAGCACAAATTTGCAGTTAGAACACACCTTCTGATACCCACTCTGCCAATCCTGGCTTGAGCCTGGGGCTGTAGCCAGTCAGTTGCCCTGGAGTCCCTTGAATGAGCAATCATACCAGCTGACTGGACAGTATGCAGATCAGGCTTCTGAGAGAGCAGAATGATGTCACCACCCCGGGGTGTGGGCAGTTCCAGCTCCATGCACTGGTAAGGAGGAGTTATAGGGCAGGAATAGGGTTTCTGAAGCCAATACTGATGTTCCCTGTAGTGTGATATCCCCAGCAGCAGGCATGCCACAGTGGTAGGTGTGGAACAAGCCCAGGGACCGCCAATGATGTTGGTTGGGGGGGGGGGCTCAGCCAAACTCCTTGCTCTTTTCCCTAGCTGGACTGCTGGAGCAGATCTTTGCTGCCACCTACAACCTATGCTTGTTTTGAGAGATTATACAAGACCCTTCCTTTTTAAGACACAAATGGCCAGCCCTTCAGCCTTCCCTGACAGCTTGGCCTCCTGGAAATGCTGCCTGTCCAGGCCATCTCTGGATCTCTTGGTCCTCCTCAGGGTTACTGGGCTTCTGGTCTGTGTCCACACCCTTTCTCTGACACTGCCCAAGCCTAGCTAGGCTTCTTGCTAATTCCATAGTCTGTCTCAAGCCTTATGTTGCCAGAGTGCCAGGGTTCCTCATAGTTGACTGGCCATACTTGCTTTTGGCCACTCTAACTCTGGATGTCCTCAGGCGCCCTCTACACTCCATCCCCCCCCCCCCTCCGCTTTAGCAATGTAGACTCCAGGGATTCCAGGGTCCTGCTCTGCAGGCATCTGTGAGTGGTATTTGTTCTGTTGCTTCAACTGGACAATTAATTAATTAATTAATTGGGTATGTGGATAGGTAGAGTTGCATGTGTGTGTGCCACCTGTGTCTGTGGAAGTCAGAGGACAACTTTTGATAGTTGAGTTTCTCCTTCTGCCATGTGTCTCTCAAGGGTAGATCTCAAGTGATCAGGCTTGAGGGAAGCCTTTACCTGCTAAGCCATCTTGAAGGCCTCAACTGCATTTCTTAAGGACCAAGTCCCAAATCCAGTCCCGTAGCAGGCTTTTTCTTTTGGGCCACCAACCAGCTCCAAATCATGACAGAGACTTCTTATTAGTTATGAATGCTCTGCCTAGCTTAGGCTCATTTCTAGCTACCTCTTTTAACTTACCCTGTTTCTCTTTATCTGGGTTTTGTCCTGGGGCTTTTTACCCTTCTTCCTTTCTGGGTAGCTTACTTTCCTGTTGTCTCTATGTCTGGTTGGCTTGACTTCTGGCCCTAGGCATCTCCCTCGTTCTCTCCTCTCTTCCTCTCATTCTTCTTTCTAGATTCCTCCTCCCATTTAGTCTCCCTGCATGCCAGCCCTGTCTATCCTTCTACTGCCTAGCTTTTGGCCGTTCAACTTTTTATCAGGTGCCTTAGGCAGGCAAGGTGAAACAAAGCAACACATCTTTACACAATTAAACACACATCCTTACATCTTTAAACAAATGCAACACACCTTTACACAGTTAAGTAATATCCCACATCATAAACAAATGGAACACATCTTTGCCTAGTTAAAACAATATCCTACAACAGTCTCCATCCAGTGTTCCTGCTCAGCCCTGGACCTTTTTATCCAGTGGGACATTCTACACAGAGATTCTGTGGACCCCTCAAACCCACCAAGTTCAAAACTAAATTGGTGATCCTACAACTCACCTCTGCTTTTGTCCCCCTCCTTGAAAGATGTCTGCCTTTAGAGAAAGTTACAGAAACATGGGCCAGGGACTGAACTTGCTTAAGCCCTGGGTGGACCCTCAGCCCCCAGAAAATAAAAAGGAAGAAAAACTATAGGAAAAGATGGGAAATTCAAAAATTAAAAAGAAAACAAAATTCCCCATGGCCCTGGCACACAGGGGTAGTAACTGTTTGTTTGGGAGTAGTGGTGTCTTTTTCCTTTTTAAAAAGATTTATTCAGTGTGTGTGTGTGGGGGGTGGCTGTGTGAGTGCAGATACACATACCATAGTACCAGTGTTGAAGGCAAAAAATAACACATTGATTCTCAGGTGGCCACGCTTGATGAGAAGCATCCTTACTGGCTGAGCCATCTTGCTGGCTCCCTTTTATATTTTAATATTCCAACTTTCCTACTTTTTTTTTTTTTTTTTTTTTTTTTGAGACAGGGTTTCTCTGTGTAGCCTTGGCTGTCCTGGAACTCATTCTTCAGACCAGGCTGGCCTCAAACTTAGAGATCTGCCTGCCTCTGCCTCCTGAGTGCTGGGATTAAAGGCATGAGCCACCACTGTCCAGCAACTTTCCCACTTTCTAATGAGAGAGAATTCCCATATTACTAGCAATTCTGCAAGAGTTTTGAACTATTTTGACTATTTGAAAAAGAAATAGGATAGAACAAACACTTCAACAGAAAGGACCTAAGAGGCACATGTCCCCCCTGCTCTGGCCCTCAGCCATTTATTTTCAGATGCCCACTGTCACTGGTCACTTGCAAACCCTTCGAATAATGTCCCATGTCCACACAAACTTCTTGCCTTTCCCTGGTGTAACAATAACACATTATATGCCCATTGTAAGCTTCTCCTTTTCTCATTTAACAGCCTGGTTTTTGTTTGTTTATTTTTTGTTTTCAAGACAAGGTTTTTCTGTGTAGTCCTGGAACTTGCTTTGTAGACCAGGCTGGCCTCAAATTCCAAGATTTGCCTGCCTCTGCCTCCCAGTGCTTGATAGCTTGCCTTGAGAATCCTCTCACAGATTCCCACAGGGAGCTCCCACCCACTTTCCTATCCTCTGGCTTTATTCTTAGCATGAGCACAAAGAAAGTGAGAAGGGCTTAGGGAGAGGGCATATACTCAAGACTGGGCACAGCTTCTCAAGAGACTCCCAGAGCTTCCTTGTTCACATTTCCTGACATTTAGTTCACTCATGTGGCCGTGCTGTGTGCTACTAAATGGGCCCTCTGTCAAAAGACATGCAAGTTCTGCTGCTACAAATGAGCTGAAGTTGGGGCTGGAACGATGGCTTGGCAGTGAACAGCATGCCCTGCTCTGTGTGTTTTCCAGCACCGTGTCAGGCATTACCCCACCATCTGCAAATTCACCTCCGGGGCCCTCTTTGGTTTCTGCATGTACCTGCACTCATGTGCGAGTACCATGCCCCTCCATCTACTAATTAAAACAATAAAATAGGTCTTCAAAAATAAAAGAGCTGTAGCAAGAAAGTGCTGGGGTGGGGCTGTGGACCTGGAAGGGAAGGAACGGATGGATGGGAGGGTCCTGGCACTGCCGAAGAGGAAGCAGGGTGACAGGATGAAAACTCTGCAACAGGCTGGATGGCCCTGAACGGAAGCAGAAAGCCACGGTGAGGAGGGCCCCTCGTTCTGGCCCAGAGTGCAGGGGGCCCAATCAGTCCAGAGCCATAGACCAGAAGTGAACTTACAACAGAGGTAGGAGAGTCCATGGGGTGCTAGGCCTAAGCCAATTCCTTTAGCCCTCATGACAATCCCAAGAAGGATTCACCCTCATGGTGGAGATAAACACATGGTAAAGATCGCTGCCCCGCCCCAGACCAGCACAGGCTCACTGGTGTTGGGGAGAAGCAGGAGTCTTCAGTGACGGGGGACCTGAAAGAAGCCTCCCTGAGGCTCACCTGGGACCCTCACACGGACGGACCTCAGGGCTTCTCCCTGCACCCGGCTGACCTCTGGGAGACAGGGCTGTGGGGAGCGGGCTGTCTCCAGGGTCCGCCCCACATCTCTAACCAGGGTCTCCTGTCTGTTTCCCGGCAGGTTTTGCCCATCATTGTTTTCTTCAGCTGTGTCATGTCGGTCCTCTACTACTTGGGCCTCATGCAGTGGGTGATCCTGAAGGTGAGTCCTCAGGCCTGTGCTTGGTCCTTCTGAGTCACCAGCTTTCAGTTCACACCCTTCCAGAATCCCATCATTCCAGGATGCCCCCGCCCTCAGCACCCTCACCCTCCCAGAATCCCACGATTCAAGGTCTACCTCCCTAGACTAGAATTCCTTGCTTTCTGGACTCATACCTTCCCAGAATCCTCTATTCCCAGGATTCATATCCTTCCTCCCCCAGAGTCTCTTGCTGGGAGGCCATGCCTTCCCAGAATCCCTCTGCTCACACACTTCACATTCTCTCCAAACCTATTGCTAATATCAAACATCCCTTCAGAAGGTCTCTTGTCCTAATGGCATCAAAATTCAATGCAGTCTCTATGGGAGGGGGGGGGTTGGGATCTATGAGGCAACACAGGCTTTAGGAGAAAAATTATTATACCAAAATGATCCTGAGAGATTATAACTTCAGGCCACATAGGCCAAACTTAGCTGGTATAAACATGCTTACTTTAAAAAAGACTATTGCATTTATCTATTTGTTTGTTTATTGTGTGTGTGCATATGCATGTGTGTGCATGCATTCATACCAGGATGCACATGTGGAGGTCAGAAAGACACATTGCAAGAGCTGGTTTTCTCTTTCTGCCATGTGGAGCCTGGGGCTTAAACTCAAGCTTGGCAGCAAGCACCTTTACCTGCTGAGCCATCTTCACAGCCCAGATGTGCCTAGGTTTATGAGATCTTCTGTATAACATTAGGATGCTGGAAATAGCATTGAGCAGTGCTCTACAGCATCAGACCTGGCAAAAGGTTCTGAAGATTTAGCCGACAGAGTTCAGAGTAAATCAACACCTTTGGATGGCAGCAAGAATAAAAAGTGATCCATGGCTATGTCAAGAGCACACCTGGCAGAATCCAAGGGAGGGGATTATCCCTGGGTCTGGAGAATGTGTTCAACCACAGGCTCAGACAAATAGTGCAAGCCGAAAAGTACAAGGGCTTGAATCCAGCAGGGCCTGAGGGACAGAGAATGATGGGCCTGGAGAAGAGGGAGAAAGGAGGGGAAGACTATTTCCAAATGCGCATGAAGAGAGGCTGAACAAGGACAGGCTGAGAGGCAGCAGTGGTGCAGAAACATTCCAGGGAAGAACTTTCTAGTACAGTGTGTCCCGACCCTTTCCCACTGAACTCTAGACCCTGGCATACTACCAAACGTTACTTGGAAAAGGAAGTCTCTGGTGAAGTAGCTGAGGAAAACATTAAAGTGAATAAATTTAAATTATTTTGAACACAGGGTCTTGCTATATAGCTCTGGCTGTCCTGGAGCTCACTCAGTAGACCAGGCTGGCTTTGAACTCACAGAGATATGCCTGCCTCTCTGCCTCTTGGGAGCGCTGGGATTAAGAACATATGCCACCAAGCTAACACTTTTTTTAAAATTGTTTATTTTGGGGTTGGAGAGCTGGCTCAGTGGCTAAAAATGTGTACTGCTCCTGCAGAGGACCTAGCTGGGTTCCCAGCTTTTACCTTGGCAGGCCACAATTCCCTGTAACTCCAGCTCTAGGGGATCTGATGCCTTTTTCTGCAAGCCTCAGGCACCTGCACACACATGCACATAAAACAAACAAATATCTATATTAGACAAATATAACAAACAAATATATATGTATAAATTTAGTATGTATGTATGTATGTATGTATGTATGTCACAGACTTGTGTAGCAGTCAGAGGACTTGCAGGAGTTGGTTCCCTCTTTCCACTGTGTGGGTCCTGCGGAGCAAACTATGTCATCAGGCTTGGTGTAAAACACTTTTACCTGATGAGCCAGTTGGCTGACCATCCACCTTATTTTCTGAGATAGGGTCTCTCACTGAACCTGGAGCTCACATGGCTAGACTGGCTGACCAGCAAGTTCCCTTGTCTCCATCTCACCAGCACTAGGATTACAGTGTATGCTTTTTACACAGGTGCCTGACAGACTGAATCATCATCTTCCCAGCCCCCTCCCCCTCTTAACACTGTCCCATTGCTAATTAAATTTCAACATGAGTTTGGGAGAGGCCATTCAAACCACAATAGGGCCCTGGGCCTGAAGGAAGACTTCTAAGATACCTTCATTGCCCCCCACACACACTCTTTCTGAGTCTGGGCTTGCTAACGTCTACTCATGAGTACTGTTTTATTTTATTTTGTTTTGTTTTGTTTCCAGATTGCCTGGCTGATGCAGGTCACCATGGGCACCTCAGCCACGGAAACCCTGAGTGTGGCAGGAAACATCTTTGTGAGCCAGGTGGGTACTGCAGCTACTCCAAACAGAGGGGAGGTGGGGGCAGGGATCCAATTTAATTTGAGAGAGAGCCCCATTTGAACCTGTCCCCAGGGTCATCAAAGGCTGTGCCCAGGGATGCTCAATTTGGTGGCTGCATGCCCTGCCTGTGTCATGCCAAACCCAGACATGGCTTATTGGGCAACTTTGCCACTCCAGCCTAAGCTTTTGTCGTCATCTTAGAGACTCACGGCATTAGAAGGGGAAACTGAGGCCCAGAAGATAAGATCCTCTAGGGATAAGATCCTCTAGGGATCTTATCATTTGCTTGTATGTTGGTTTCCTGAGCAGGCTTCTTACCACTCTATCATTTGTCTCATCTTTCCTCTGTCTGAAATGGATTTTTCAAGATAACTATTGCTCTGAAGGCACCAGAACTCTATGTCTCTTCTTCAGCCTGACCTTCTTGAGGAGGAAACTCTGTACATCAGAGAGTCTCTATGAGATACCCTTGTCAAGCTATTTCTTATTTCATTGGGTAGTTTGGGAATTTTAAGAAGATTCCCATCTACTTTTTATGGTGCAAGCATGCTAATTTCAAAGGGGTTGGTATTCTAGACAGGTATGGTTGCAGATAAGTTGTTCCCAAAATAACTCCTCTCTGTCTATCTCTCTCTGTCTCTTTCTCTCTCTTGGCTTTTGTTTGTTTATTTTGTTCTTGAGACAGGGTTTCCCTGTGTAGTCCTGGCTGTCCTGGAACTTGCTCTATAGACCAGGCTGGCCTCAACTCAGAGGCCCACCTGTGCCTGCCTCCTAAGTGCTGGGATTAAAGGCCTTTGGCTGCTGATTCTCTTGTCTCTACCTCTTGAGTGTTTGAATCACAGGTGTGAACCACCACTCACATCTCTTTAAGGTGTTCAAACTGAGGCCCAGGAAGAGGAGGACCCCAAACCACCCAAACCTAACTGTTGTGAAAGCTTAAAGTCATGCCTGTTTCTCTGAGAAAACATCATTAGCAGTAGATGTAACACTGGGTGCCATAAAAAGTCCCCGAAGTATATTAGAGTGTCTAAGTTGGTGGTCCAATTGCCCTAGATGTCTGGCACTTTGCCTCATTTCCACTAAAGGGAGAGATGGAGTAAGGAGCCTTCAAAGTTTGCCAACACCATTATAGTCTATAACCATGGCAGGCCTGGGCCTCCTGTGCAGTTCACACTCCCTTCCCAAGGTTTACAGTAGTCCCATGGCTGTAAATGTGTGTCCTGATCTGGATCCCCAAGCCTATCCTTCCTCCCTGAACCCTGGACTTATAGGTTCCTTACCCCTCTGAGTCAATAATAACTCAAAGACGTCTGAAATTCACCAAGCAGGACCTGGAATCCTTCCCTTGGCACAGTTGTGCTTTCTTAAGTCTTCTAGGAAGAGGTAACATCTCCCATGGGTTGTTCAGACAACTCAGAAAGTCATCTTGCCTTCCTCTGCTTTCTCACCCTGCTCTATCCATGCATCCCACAGCGTACTAATTCCCTCAGCTCCGCCTCTGCATCCATCCATCCCCGGTCCTGCCCATCTTCCTTGCTGTGATCCATGGGGCCAGTCTCCAGGAGCACTGCAATCACTACCTGTTCACCCTGCTTCCTTCCATCTCACTCCTGCCAGCCATCCTTAGACACACGCCCGAGTGACCCGTCAGAGACATGGATGAGGAGCTGCACTGTGTGACACAGTGGTAGATGCTTGCCTAACATGGGCAAAACCCTAGAGGTTCCATCCTAGCTAACACACACACACACACACACACACACACACACACACACCCCTCATGCCATGCCCTACCCAAACAAGGGAACTTCTTCCCCCAGTGCCATCTGCCCTCTTCTGCCTCCATACCAAACTAGAACGCACACCACTGGTCTGTAGTTGACTCCTTCCCATCTCAGCTAACATTAACCCAATGCTACACCCTCAAAAAGGCCTGTGCCGATATTACCTAATGATGAGGCCTTCATTCTCGCATGTCTTCGTAGAGCATATCACCCTCTAAAACTGGCTTCTTATTGTAATCTGTATCTCCTCCCCCTTGACTCCCCTCCCTCCTCCTGTTCCCAGGGAGGAGTTCTTGCCCCTTCCCTGTATTGCTTAGATTTCTTGTCCCTGCAATGACATACCCGACAAGAGCACCTGAAGGAAGGAGATGTCTATTTTGACTCACGGTTTAGAGGTAGAGTCAGTCCTGGCAATGGGAGTGTGAGGCAGCGGGTCCTAGCATGTCCACAGTCAGAAGCGGAGTAAGATGAATGCTGGTTTTCAGCTCACTTTCTACTTTGTATTCATCCTGGGCCCCAGCCTGTGGGATGATGCCATCCACATTCAAGGTTAAACCTCTCTGAAAGCCCCCTTACAGACACACCCAGAGGTGTGCTCCCATGGTGATTCTAAACCCAGTCACCCTGACAATGAAGATTAGCCATCATCCTCCCATCTCCCCATCCTGCAGAGCACTACCAAGGTGTCAGTGACGCCGTAGCTGTGCTGGACAAATAAAGAGTGGTCCAGACTTCCCCACAGGTCCCAAAGCATGTCCATTGCATGCCTAGCTCCTTTCTTGGTGTTCCCCCTTGCTTCATCAGATGCCAGGGGAAGATCTTTTCTGCCTCAGTGAGGAGGTGTCTGGGTGTGAGGCACATGGTATGTGTCAACACAGGGAGCATTGTGAAACAGAGGGTATGGAGATCCTTCCATGGAGGGGGGAGGACAATGAGGTCCGAAGAGACTCGGCTGAATAGGAACCCACCCTTCTGTTTCCTCCTCTGAACCCCTTCGTCACTCACCATGGTCACACTTCCAGGGCAAGGGAGGTGAGAAGGGTGTCCAGCCACCCCAACTCATTGTGTGCTCTGTCTTGTGTGTAGACCGAAGCTCCTCTGCTCATCCGGCCCTACCTGGCAGATATGACTCTCTCTGAAGTCCATGTTGTCATGACAGGAGGCTATGCTACTATTGCTGGTAGCCTCCTGGGCGCCTACATCTCCTTTGGGGTAGGTAGAACCTGCTGGGCTGAACCACTTGCTCAGGCTTCTTACATGGCTGCTGGGGTAGATTCCCAGAATTCCCTTTACTAAGCTCTTATTATGTATCAGACACTATGCTGGGCATTCTAATATCCCCATGTTATAGATAAGCAAATTGAGGCTCAGAAAATAAATTAATGGTTAAAGCCAGGAACTGAACCCAGATCTATCTGATTCCAAAATGTGTGCTCACATCTGTCACCAACACCTATAATTGCAGCACTCTAGAAGCTGAGGCAGGAGGATTAAATGTTCAAGGCCAGCCATGGCTATATAGTGAAACCCTACTTCAAAAAATAAAATAAAAGAAAGCCAGGTAGTGGTGGTGCATTTAATCCCAGCCCTCGGGAAGCAGGGGCAGGCGAATCTCTGTGAGTTCAAGGCCAGCCTGGTCCTGGTCCACAGAGTGAGTTATAGGACAGGCTTGAAAGCTACACAGAACAAAACAAGCAAACAGATAAATTAAACAAATAAACAACAACAACAACAAAAACACTTAAGAACTGTTGGCTGCATTGGGTATACAGTGGGCTACTACCCAGTAAACACATCTATAAATGCATCATAAGATGAAAATGCATGGAATATGCCTAACCTACACTGTCAGTACCAAGCCTCTCCCCTGGCCTGAGTGGGGGCACAGACCTGGATCTGGGACTTGGCTGACTGCTGCCACCAGCATTACAAGAAAGCATCCTAGGAAAGATCACAATTTGAAATGCCAAGAGCAATTTCTATAAAATGCTTATCACTGTAAGACCACCTCAATGTAAAAATTATTTGTTTGAGCCATTAAGTCAAAGACCATCCATACCAGAAGACCTTTGTTCCTTTTACACCATCTGGCTTAAAACTCAGTTCATTCCTTCTCTTTTTCAGTCATGGGGACATTTTTCCTCCCAGCTGACAGCCTGGCTACCCCTCCTCTGTAGCCCTACAGATGTATAGAATCTGCCACAGGGGCATGGGGGGGGGTTAGCCCCAGCCTGCAATGTAGCCATAGCAGGGGGCTGGGAAAGGGTGTGACTGACCTTCCCTCCTCCCTCCCTTCCTCCCCTCTTCCCTGCTCTATGCCTTCCATCCCCAGCCGAAGCTCTCTTCTGCCCCCAGCTGCCCTTGGCCGTCATTGCCTGGCCTCTCTGTCCCAGGGAGACTCCCAGAGTCTGTGTTGTTTTGCTTTTGTACAGCTGGGTTACAAACTCAGGATCCTATATATGGCAGGCAAGTTGTTGAGCTACACTCCCAGTTTACAGATCCATTTAAGAATTTTTCCATTGTTGTTTGTGTATGAGCACAGCAGCACACATGTCACAGGCATGCGTGTGTGGATAGGACAACTTTGGGAGCCGGTTCTCTACCTACACCCTGGGCTCTCTGGGGATCGAACTAAGGGTTGTTATGACAAGTGAGCCATCTCCCCTCAGTTCACAGATTGTTCTTTGTGCCTCAGCTTCTGACCCTTTGCCCACATCCTGCCTATCACAGGTATCTGGATAGTTCCAGGACCTGTCCAACACAGTAGCTAGGAACTACTGAGCACTTGAAACATGGCAGGTTTGAAAAGTGGTGTGTGTGGGCCTTTGCACAGAAAAAAAAAATGTAGTTATTTTATTAAGTAAGTTTATAATATTATGTGGTGGAAAGAAAAACTTTGAAGATATATTGGGTTAATTAAAACACATTAAAAATGAACTAGAGCTCTCTCTCCTCTTTTATTTTTTCTTCAGTGCTAGAGAGCAAACCCAGGGCCTCTATCCCAAATGCTAGGCAAGTGTTGTACCACTGAGTTAAGATATATATGTGTAAATACACACACACACACACACACACTTTTTTTTAATGGTGTCTCGCTAAGTTACTTAGACTGGTCTTAACTGGTGACCCCCTGCTTCAGCCTCCCCAGTTAGCATTACCAACTTGCTCCTCACAGGCCTGGCTTTCTTTGCACTTTTAAAAATGTGTCTACTGGCCACGGGAAATGTGTTGGTGTTTTTCTGTGTGGTGTCACATGTCTTATAGACCCAGCACCTGGGAGGAAGAGGAGAAAGATCACAAATTTAAGACTAGCCTGGGCTACATGAGACTCTGTGTAAAAGAATGTGGCCAGTGTAAAATTATATGTGTGGTCTCCATCGTGTTTGTATTGGGCAGTGCCAGCCTAGGTCTTCTCTTTTGTCAAAGAGCCCCAAGTGCCACTTGACTGAATCATTCTGTTGTGACTGTCACATATATTTCCAACCATGCTGTTGCTCCAAAGGCTCTAAAATAGACACCAGCTTTTACTGCAAACCCAAATGAACTGGTCCTTTGCTGCAGGGGTCCCTGAACCCAAGCTGGTCAGGGTAACATTCAGGAATTGGCCACTCGTGTTTCTTATTGAATTGTCCCCAAGTGGAACAGGGTCTTCAAGATCCTGAGTGGGCAAAGTGACTCTGTTGTTTGTTTCCACATCTGTAAAATGGGCAGATACACTGGCTGCCTGACTTCAATAGATGGACTGAAGAGGGGTGGAAAACACATAGCATGATGCTGAAAAAGTGGTCATGGTGGGATTGGAAATCTGTCCTCGGACTGGCTCCTTTATTTCTTTCTCCCTGAACACCTTTCTGAAAAGTGGGCTGTTCCGTGGGAACTTCTGCCCTCTGTTTCTATTAGCCCATGTAAACTCACCTCCCTGATTCCCTCCTCTCCCCCCTCCCTGTTTTGAGACAGGGGCTCACTGTGTAGTTCTGACTAGCCTGGAATTTATTACACAGGCCAGGGTGATCTTGAACTCACAGAGATCTGTCTGCCTCTGCTGGGCCTAAAGGTGTCACACACCCAGAAGAGGGCATCTGTTTTGATGGAGGACTGGGAACTGAACTCAGGTCCTCTGCAAGAGCAGCAAGCATTCTTAACTGTGGAGGCATCTCTCCAGCCCCACCCCTTTTAAAAACAGGTTCTCATGTATCTAGTCTGGCTTCAAACTCATCATGTAACCAAGAATGACTTTGAGCTTCTGATTCTTCCAACACCACCTCTGGAGTGCTAGAATTACAGGACTATACCACACTTCCCAGTTTCTGTGATGCCAGGGATGGAACCCAACACCTCTTGATGATAGACAAAATTTCTGCCAGCTGAGCTGCATCCCAGAAAACTGTTATTGGCTTACTCCAAAACTGAAAAAGAAAAGATCTGTTTCCCTTTTCTGTTTATAAAACTGGTGTAGATCTTTGGAAGATATCAAAAAGCAGCAAGGAAGAAATTACATCAAACCCAGCTCACCAGCGACAGCCAGTTTGCCGGCTTGTTTCTGGAGTTTCTAGGCAGTTTTGTGTTTGTTTCCCCATAACCACAGTCCCACTCTTCATGCAATGTTGTGGGTACTTTCCCCCGTTACTGCATGATGCCCGGAGAAGCATCATTTTCCAGAGACCATTCTTAAGATGGAGCAATGGCTCTGTGGGTAAGAGCACTGGCTGCCTATACAGAGAACCCATGTTCTAGCCCCCACACGACAGCTCACAATTATCTATAGCTCCAGTGGCAGGAGATCCGAGGCCCTCTGCTGGCCTCTACAGGCACCAGGCACCTACAATGCACCACAATGCACCACCACGCAGCAAAACACTCATTCACACAGAACAAACAATTTTTTTTAAAAAGGCCATTTGCTCATTGTTAGACGGTTGAGTTGACTTCATCGTTTGGTGAATAATGCAGCAAAGGGGAAAGCTGACTCGTTTGTCTATGGAGCAGTGAGGATATGCATCCTGGATGCACCCCCTACCTCACCCCCTACCCCTACCCCGGACAGAGTTGGTGTTGTTTTGTCATCTTGCTGGAGTGCTTGTCCAGTGTGATTCACAGAGACAGAGCCACTGCCTCCAGGGCAATCAGAGGAGGCTGATTCCCTGAGAGTTTCCTAATATAGGAGTGGGTGTGGCAGATCACTTTGAGGTGGTGAGTGTCCTATCACCGTGAGATAGGGGTTGCACTCCTCTACCAGCACATAAGCTATGCCGAGGGGATGTGCTACTTCTTGCATCCATCCCCTCTCTCAGTTCAGCATTGTCTGAATTTGTCACAAACTCCTCAGCCAGCGGGGATTAGTGGTCAAAGAGAGACAGCCTAGATGAGGAGGAGGACCCATGAAATTGGATTTCAGTCCTCCTCCTTCCTTTATTTTGAGCAAATCATAGTTATTCCCCTAGAGCCTCAGTTTCCTTGCATATAAATGGGGTAATAATACTTGCACTGCCTACCATGCAGAAGTCTTTTACATGTATCGTATTTATATGTACGTGGGTGGAAGGCAGAGGACAACTTGCAGCAGTCAGTTCTCTCCTTCTGCCATGTCAATTCCAGGAACTGGACTCAGGTTTTCAGGCTAAGCAGCAAGCACCTTTACCTGCTCAGCCATCTCATGGGCCCTTGCAAAAGTACTGGGAGAGGCTCTGAACATAAAAGACATTGTTTGCGGCCATGCTGGCAGTAATACAGTGAAGTCATATTAATGGAATGAAGATATTCCTCTGCCACCACATTTTTCCTACCTATCTCCTATAACCTCCTTGTTGATCACTTATATTTATATTTTTTGAGGCAGGGTCTCTGGCCGACCTTGAACTCACTACGTAGCTGAGGATGACCTTGGCTTTCTGATCTTCCTGAGTGCTGGGATTACAAGCATGCACCTCCATGCCTGGTTCTGAGGCTTTGGAGATCAAATCTAGGGTTTTTCACATGCTAGGCAAGCACTGTACTATTACCACTCCTAGCCCACCCTCCCATTGTTCTTGCAGATTGATGCTGCCTCCTTAATTGCTGCCTCCGTAATGGCAGCCCCTTGTGCTTTGGCCCTCTCCAAGCTGGTCTACCCAGAGGTGGAGGAGTCCAAGTTCCGGAGAAAGGAAGGAGTGAAGCTGACTTATGGGTGAGCACAGAAGGGTGGGGGGCTTTGGCAGACAGCACTGGTGCCGGGTGTGGGAGCAGAGGTGGAGAGGAGCAGTTGTCCTTGATTCGTTTCTGTCTTCCATGGAGCTTTCTCTCCCATCACTCTTGGTGAGGCCTCACATGCAAAAACACACTCTTTTTATTTTAAAATAACTGATTTATTTATTTAACATGTATGAGTGTTTCCCTGCGTGTCTGTATCTGCACCATGAACTTGAGGAGACCAGAAGAGGGTATGGAATCCCTTGGAACTAGAGTCATAGTGGGAATCTAACTTGGGTTCTCAGGAAATGCAGCCAGTTACTCTTAACTTGTGAGCCATCTCTCCAGCCTGAACACAGACTTGCTGAAGTGGTTGATGTGGGAAAATGGAGCGTCCAAGGCCTGCCTGGCTACATAGCAAGGTCTAGGCCAACTTGAGCTGTATAGTGAGACTTGTCAACAGAACAAAACGAAGAAAAAAACCCAAAGGGGTTGGTCCGGGTTCCGGGCCTGCCGCTCGCTCTTGGTGTGGCTCCCTGCCACTTTCTCTGCGTGCCTGGTATCTCTGACCACCAGGTGGCAGCCTCACATTGACAAGTGGAATGCCAGGCTCCTAACAAGGCTTTGTCACCATTAACCAGTCCTTTAAAAACGTTGAAAAGAAGCTATGTGTGGCATCATATGTCAGTAATCCCAGCACCTGGAAGATGGAGGCAGGGAGGTTAGGAATTGGGGGCCATCCTTACTACACAGTAAATTCCAGGCCAGCTAGGATTCAGGAAGGCCTATCTCAGCACTCACAAGTTGAAAAGGCACAAGGGCTTTGGGGCTACTCTGCCCCGTGGAAATAGACTACAGACCACCTCAGTCATCCCCCTTCCCCTTCCTCTCCTCCTTTTCTTCTTTCCTTTTTTTTTTCTTCTTCTTTTGGCAAGGTCTCAAGTATCCCATCTATCTCAAACTGGCTAGGTATCTGAGGATGACCTTGAGCTTCTGATCCTCTTGCCTCTACTGCCTGATGCTGAGATTACAGGGTGCTATCACACCCAATTTACGGGGTACTGGGGATTCAAAGCCAGAATTTTGCATGTGCTAGGCAAGTTGAATTATATGACTAATCTTTATTATATCTTTTCTAGTGAACATCTTTACACACACACACACATACACACACATACACACACACACACACACACACACACACACACAGAGAGAGAGAGAGAGAGAGAGAGAGAGAGAGGCTCACTTCGTTTTATTTTAGGTATATGATTGATTTTCCTTCAAGTATGAAAATGTCCTGCATGCATGCTTGGCGGTGCCCTTGGAGATCAGAAGGAGATCAGATCCCCTGGAACTAGAGTTAGGGACAGCTGTAAGCTGTCAAGTGGAGTCTGGGAACTGAGCCTGAGTCCTCTGCAAGCAGCAAGATCTCCTGACCACTGAGCCGCCCCCCAGCCTCAGACATCTTTTATTGCATTTCATTCATCTACTGTGTGTGTATGTGAGGGGGTTCATGTGTGCCACAGCACTTGTGTAGAGGTTACGGGACATTCAGAGGGGCCTCATTTTCTTTCTGAGACAGAGAAAGAAAAGAACTCCAAGAGGGAAAGTGGGCTGGTGGTTAGAGGACCGAGAAAAGATACAGGTTTCTGAGAAGGCTGCAGGATAGGAGTTGATAGCCCAGTGTGTCTCTGGCCTCTTGAGAGCAGGCTGGTCCCAACCAGCTCTCATGGGAGTTAGTCATCTACTTCCACCAAGTCATCGGCCTCGGCAGCAGCATCTTCCTTTTTAGACACAGCTGGCTCGTAACTCAAGATCTGCTGGGGTTAAAGGGGTGTGCCCTCATGCCTGGCTTCTGGTCACTTTTAAAAAAATAAAACAGATGCTCTTAATAAAATCTTTTGCTTAAACCAATCTATCAAAAACATTTTCATTTCATCGTGTGATCAATAACAATAGTAGAGGCCAGACATGGTGGTGCAGGTCTTTAATCTTAGGACTTGGGAGGCAGGTGGATCTCTGTGAGTTCTAGGCCAGCCTGGTCTACAGAATGAGTTCCAGGATAGTCAGGGCTACATAGAGAGACCCTGTCTCAAAACAAAACAAAATCTAAGATATTTTCCCCTCCCTCCCTCCTTCCCACCCTCTTCCCATCCTCTCAGATACTCAAAATGTGAGTGGTATACCAAATTCACAATACAGCGTGGTTGGGACCAGCTTGCTTTCAAGTGGCCAAAGACACACTGAACTATCAACGCCTGTCTTGCAGCACAGCCCAGAAACCTGAGTCTTTTCTCATTCTTTGATCAGCAGGTGTTGTGCTACCCCCCACCTCTCCACCCCCCTGCAAATTCTTTTTTCTCCCTGTCTCAGAAAGAAAACAGCCTCCTTGGTTCTGAAGACCTCTGTCAATGGTTCCTCTTTGATCCTATAAGGTGGGGACTTTTTTTTGCTTCTGGGGACATGCTAGTAATAACACCTATTGATCCCAATGGTAGAGATGCTCAGAACCTCCTGGAAGCAGCCAGCGCTGGGGCTGCCATCTCAGTGAAGGTCGTTGCCAACATTGCTGCCAATCTGATTGCCTTCCTGGCTGTGCTGGCCTTCATCAATGCTGCCCTCTCCTGGCTGGGGGACATGGTGGATATCCAGGGACTCAGCTTCCAGGTGTGGCCATTGTGGAAGGGATGGTCTCAAGGCAGGGGATGGTAGATGGAGACCCAGAAGAGCCCTTGTCTGACCTGATTCTCTTGCCCCTTTATCCTCAGCTCATCTGCTCCTACATCCTACGGCCTGTGGCCTTCTTGATGGGCGTGGCCTGGGAGGACTGTCCTGTGGTGGCTGAGCTGCTGGGCATCAAGCTTTTTCTGAATGAGTTTGTGGCCTATCAAGAGCTTTCCCAGTACAAGCAGCGACGCCTGGCAGGGGCTGAGGAGTGGCTCGGCGACAAGAAACAGTGGATCTCTGTGAGTGTCCCAAGCCTTCCTGGCAGCCCGGGAATGGCATGGCATTCCCTAGGTCCCTGTTTTTGTGTTTCCCTGGGCCTGCCTGAGACACACTGAGGTGGTGATTAAGCATCCATATCCTGCTATCCTGGAAGACCAGACAGATATCAGGGCCGCACTGTGGGCTCCTGAAAGAAATTTGTCTGAGATCAAGTTCCAGATGTGCCCCTGCTTGCTTTGGCTTTGGGGGAGCTACTGTGACTTGCCTCTCTTGGGAAACGGGGGTGTAGCACCTGCCACGCCTCCCGAAAGGGGCATGTGGGAGTGTGTGGTGAGCTGCAAGGGTAAATGAGCTACGAGACCCTCCTCACGGCCCCCAATAATACACATGGTGATACACATGGTGCAGTCTAGGGCTTGGCTTTTCTTGTTGACATTTATTCTAAAAACACCACCATGAACAAGATCTATGACATTAGCCTTTCTGAGAGAATACAGTCAGAACATAATGTTGGGGGAAAAAAAACCCTATAATCTCATTATCCTATGATAACAGTATTGCTATGTTATCCATTTTCTTCCTTTTCATGTGTTGTTTAGGGGGCAGGGATCTATGTAGCCAAGGCTGGCCAAGGATACATAGAAGAATGGCCTTGAACTCCTGCTCCTTCTGGAGTGTGGGGATTGCAGGTGTAAGCCTCCATGGTTTTTGGTTTTTGTTTTTCTAAGACAGAGTTTACACAGTTACTATAGGCCATACATTGTAGCCAGCTTTCTCCCCTCATCTTTATGATGTAGGTAGCTTTTTATTTTCAGTGCCTGAGGTGGAACCAGTCCCTTGTGCATGCTAAACCCTGAGCTATATACCATTTGAAATTTATATCCACCCCACCCCCCATTTTTTTAAGAGACAGGATTTTTTTATGTAGCCTTGGCTGTCCTGGAACTCTCTGTGTAGACCAGGCTAGTCTTTGCCTCCTGAGTGCTGGGATTAAAGGTGTTCAGCACCATTCGTAGCTCCAAAATTCATGTATCTTTAAAATATTTGATAATAGTTATTTCAGTGTGTGTGTGTGTGTGTGTGTGTGTTCATGCCATGTTGCATATATGGAAGCCAGAAAACAAGTTGCAGGAGTGATTGTCTGCCTTTTCCCTGCTGAGCCACATGTGAGTGTCTTCCCATATTTACCAGTCTTGTGCGGTTAGGTCATCCATCTGAACTCCTTATTTGGCTGTGTGTATGAGGACATTGAAATGAATATCTTGGTGTGTAGGTCTTTCCCTGGCTTCTGGGTCATTTCTTCAGGAGCTTCCTCAGATGTGAGCAGAACCCCATGCAGAGCCTGCCTGCAGCAACTTTCCTGTTTGGTGATTAAATGCCACCTCGATGCACTCAATGCAGTCATCACCAGAAACAAAGCAGCATTGAAAGTCTGCACTTAAAAGCAAGTTTGGGGTCTGAGGGTGTAGCTCATTTGGTAGAGTGTTTGAATAGCACGCACAAGGCTCTGAGTTCGATCCCCAGCACTGCACAGACTGCAGATGTGTGGTACATGCTGGCAAACCCAATACCCAGCTACTAGAGGCAGGAGGATCAGGGCCATCCTTGGCTACATAAAGAGTTCCAGGAACCTTGTCTTACCTTTACAAATGTTTCAATTTTTGTTTTGAAACAGAGTCTCATTAAATTACCCAGGGAAGTCTTTAATTCACAATCCTCCTGTCTCTGTCTAACTAGGATTATAAAGCCCAAGCCATCAGGCCTGGGTTCGGGTCTCTGTCTAACTAGGATTATAAAGCCCAAGCCATCAGGCCTGGGTTCGGTTAGCGTTTACTATATATTCCCCCCTAGTTTTTTTTTTTTTTATCACTTTCATTTTGTTTGAAAGAATTTGATTTTCAAACATCAATTTTTATAGCAACTATTTCTCCCCGATTCCTTCTTCTCTCTTTTTAATTCTTAGAAGATGAGCTGGAGAGCATTAAATTCCTGAAAAAATATGATGAAATAGTTAAGACTGTGGGCTGAGTCAGATAGGACTGAATTTTTTGGCACAGCTGACTTTTGAATGTGCAAACTCCCAATTACTTAACTCTCTGAGCTTCAGTTTATTTAGTTTACCCCAAAATGAGTATAATAATACTACCTTATAACTATAATAATTATTGTCTTATATATATCCCATTATTTTATACTTTAAATTTTGTTTCTCTCAGTGGTTTAAAGACTAACTTTAAGGTGTGAGGCATGGATGGCAACCAGTTGGGTTTTTTGTTTGTTTGTTTGTTTGTTTTTTGAAGTGTTTCATTTTGGCTCTTGACATTTCTTTTTGGAAAATTAAACAACTGTTCAGAGCGCAATGGGAAAAGAACCACTTTGCTTAATTGTCTATTGTATACCTGGTGTTTCCTGTACACTATATGGCCTTGTGACGGCCTCGCTAGGCAAGCACTGTTATTCCCACATTCCAGATGTAGAAATTGAAACCTACAGAGGTTGCTGACTTACTCCAGTTGATTATAGTGGAGACAAGCTGGGAAGCCAGGCGGGCTGGATTCCCAATGGCTGACAGCAGCTGACCATGCACTCCAGCCTGGCAGTGCCTAGATTGAGGTCTGGGCTTTCAGGTATTTGCAGGGACCAGAAAGAAACAAGAGACTGCAGAGCTGGGAGAAGGTGCCCTCGGCACCCTGAACCTGTCTGAACCAGATCCCAAAAGCTGGTCACTGGGCTGAGGATGTAGTTCAGTTGGCAGAGCGCTTGCCTAGCATATGTGAAACCACGGGTTCAATCTCTGGCACCACACAAACTAGGCGTGGTAGTGTATGTTGCTGTCTGTAACTTCAGAGGTAGAAGCAGGAAGATCAGAAGTTCAAGGTCGCCCTCAGTTACTTGAGCTTGAGGACAGTTAGGGCACTTAGGATACAGGCTGAAGGACAGCTGAGAGAGGGGGTTGGGACTTTGAGGTGTGAACTGGAAGCTCACTTAAGGTGGGAGGAGTATGAGACTGGTGAAGGAGTATCTCAGAGGGTGCCAAGGCCTAAAGGAACTGAATGAATTAAAACAAGGGAGGCCTCATTGCCTGGGGTGAGGCATTCTTGTAATCTGTATTTCCAGGTCAGAGCGGAAATCCTGACCACATATGCTCTCTGTGGATTCTCCAACTTCAGCTCCATCGGCATCATGCTGGGAGGCCTGAGTGAGTCCCTGGACTTCGAAGCACCCAGGAACCAGGAGGACCCATAGAGGAGGGCTGGGAAGGGGTGATGGAGGCAGCAGGCAGTGTGAAGGGGAGGAGGTCACGGGTAAATGAGGGGCACCTTCACCTGTCCCTTCTCTGCTCCTCCACTTTCTTCCCCCCAAATGTCTGCTTCGCACCAAGCTCTCACAGCCAGCCAGGGAGAGGAAGGCCCCTCATGAGTGTGGCTCAGCCCGGATGGGCAGTGCAGCCTTCAAGGTGCAGTTGGTCTGGTTTAGAGAGAGTAAAACTGTGTCAGAGATACCAGGTGATAGCCAGGACACAGCTTGGCCTGTATTTAGTCCTTATTGTGCCACACCCCAAACTTATCTTCCTAGCTGAGCATAGTGGTTTACATCTATAACCCCTGCACCCAGGACGCTGAAACAAAAGAGTATCGACTTCAAGCCCAGTCTTGCCTATATGAGACCTTGTCACAAAACACAGTAAACAGACAACAACAACAACACACACACACACACCCCAAGGCTGGGGATGAAGCTCAGTTGCCTGGGCGCTTGCTTCCAGTACCACATCAATGGGCACAGTGGCTCATGCCTGAAATTTCAACATTCAGCAGGAAGATCAGGAGTTCAAAGTCATTCTTGACTACTAGAGAGTTCAAGGCCAGCTGGGCTATGTAAGACCCTGTCTCATAAAAAGAGAAAGAGAAACCAGCTTCTTTTCCTCCTCCCACTACAGAGGGTAGAGTAAATGGGACATCATGGAATGCCTGCAGCTAGGCCAGAGGACAATAAAGGGCCCTCCTGTCACTCATCAGCAGAGGGTAGTGCCACAACTTCAGGAAGTGGGCAGAGGGGTCGGTGGGTGGGTGGGTGGCTTTCTTGGCCCTAAGCTCTCTTGCTGGTCTGTAGCCTCTCTGGTCCCTCAGCGGAGGAGTGACTTCTCCCAGATTGTGCTCCGGGCGCTGATCACTGGTGCCTTCGTGTCCCTGGCCAATGCTTGTGTGGCAGGTGAGTGTTAGTCCAAGTCCAACAGGCTCAGAACTCTGCCCCTTGTTTTTAGCCCCTCTTAGGCAGGGTTGGCCCTTGGGCCAAGCCTCCAAGCTGCTTGCTTCCACAGGGATCCTCTACGTGCCCAGGGGGCTTGAAGTGGACTGTGTGTCTCTTCTGAATCAGACCCTCACCAGCAGCAGCTTTGAGGTGTACCAGTGCTGTGGCCAGGTCTTCCAGAAGTGAGCACCTGGGCTATGGGTGGGTGGTGGTTAACCTGGACTGCCAGGCACAGAGCAGAAGACCCAAGTACCCTCGTGCTTTCCATACTAGGGGGCAGGGTAGGAGGAATGTTATGGCTATAGCAGCTCTGATGGAGATGGGGTAGGAAAGGTGGACCAGAGATGTGCAGCTACTTTCCCAGGGCTGCACAGTCTATTGACTGGGGCAGATGTGGCCTGATAGCCTACTGTGGTGATTGCTTTTTTTTCAGCACCAGCTTGGAGTTCGGCCCAGAGGCACTGGACAACTGCTGTCTATTTTACAATCGCACAATCTGCACATAGCTGGAACTGAACATCTTCCTGCCCTCAGGGGTCATCTATCCCAGAAAGTGTCTGTCCTCAGGAGGCCATGGAACTCATTGCTACTTCCACAATTCTACAATCGGGAAAGGGTGCTTCAGGGCATGGAGACTTCAGTAAATGAAAACACCTCCCATCCCTGGTCCCATCACTGCTTCCCCATGTCCTGCCACTCAAAGTGTGAGTTCCCATCGTCTCTTTTGCTCCCTTACCCTCTGCCAGTTAACCTTCTGGTGCCCTCTGCTCCTCTTCCCTTAGGATCCTCATGTGCACCTGTCCAAAGCCTCCTCCCTGCTCCCTCTCGAGCAATCACACTTGTTGTTCCCCCACCAAAAGCTGCCTCTAGAGACACCCACTTTCACTCCGTCCCTCAGAGCACTTTCCAAACGGGTGTCCCGCAAGACAACATCTCAGTAGGTGGGATGTTCTGAGCAGCCTGTGACCTACTACGTTTGGAACACCGAGCTAAATAAAGTTAGACAGGGTTTGTTTGTTTTGGTTTTAGAAGGGGCCTCATGCAGCTCCTTCTGGCCTTGAGCTCATCTGTAGCTGGGGATGACTCCTGATCCTCCTGCTGGGAATACAGGTGTGTCTATCACACTTGGCCCATAAGAACTTGTTATTTGGGCTGTTAAGAGATGTCAGTGGGTGAAGACATCTGCTGTTAAGCTCCATCAACTGACTCTGATCCCCGGGGCCCACAGTGAAAGGAGAGAATGACTTTTCCATGTTGTCATCTGGCCTCTGTATGTGTGCCATGGCACATGTCCTACCCCTCCCAATTAAAAATAACAAAATGCAGCTCCGTAGTAGTGGTGTACACCTTAATCCCAGCACTTAGGAGACAGAGGCGGACGGAGCTCTGAGTTCGAGGCCAGCCTGGTCTACATAGAGAGTTCCAGGACAGTGAAGACTACACAGAGAAACCCTGACTCAAAAAACCAGTAGTAATAGTCATAGTAGCAATAATAATAATAAATATGATTTTAAAGCTTTATTATTTGTGTGCATGAGTGTGATGTGAGTGTAAGGGTGTGGGTGCCAACACACACTGTGGAAATCAGAGAACAGCTTTTGAGAGTCGGGTCTTTTCTTCCACCCTTATATGGATTCTGAAGATCAAACTCGAGTCTTGTCTTCAGGCTTGCATGGCAAGTTCTTTACCTGAGGAGCCACCTGCCTGCCCAAGGTGTTTCTTTGTTTGTGTTTATTTGTGACAGGGTCTTACTATGTAGCCCTGGCTGTCCTGAAACTCACTGTGTAGACCAGGCTGGCTCAAACTCAGAGTTCCTCTGGCCTCTGCCTCCTGGTGCTGGGGTTAACAAGGCCACATGCCACCCCACTCTCAGCTCCAGGAGCTTTTTTTGATAAAAGTATCTTTTTGAAGGTGTCATAGAATACACTTGGGCAAATATCTCAGAGTCACATTGCTTTATTTTCCCTGATTGTGACACCAGGGAATGTTTGCACAGAACTGGGGTCAGGTATGACTCTCAATGCTTTGTAGGTTTTCTTTCAGTCCTTGCAAGAATCCTGTAAGGCGAATCAGAGCCCCAGAGAGGTTAAGTAGCTAGCCCCCAGTAAAGCATAGCTAGGAAGAAGAAAAGACAGGCTTTGAGGCCAGGGCATTAAAAAATTCCGTAATCAGTGATACAATAGCCCACCAGTGTCTGAGGAACTCTGTTGGGTGAAGACAGCTCCTCCTTCCCGCCTCTTCTCATGCCACACCCCGAGCTCCATTAGGTCAGGTTTTGATATTTGTTTCCAAATATCCCCAAATCCCTGTGTTTGACACAAACTAGAGTTACATGGAAAGAGGGACCCTCATGATCAGTCTATGTCAACTTAATACAAACTAGAGTCACATGGGAAGAGGGAGGGAACCTCAACTGAGCAATTGCCTCCACTGACTGGTGGGCAAGTCTGTGGATCATTGATTGTTGATATGGGAAGGCCCAGCCCACTGTGGGTGATTCCATCCCTAGGCAGGTGGCCATGAGTTGTGTAAGAGAGCAAAGTGAGCAAGTGTGGAGAATAAGCCAGTAAGTGGTGTTCGTCTGCGATCTCTGCTTCAGCTCCTGCCTCCAGCTCCCCAGATAATGACCTGTGTTTTCTCCTTTCATCTTTGTGTGGCATTGAACCCAGGTCATCAGAACCTGACATTACATGCCAAGCTCTTTACTCACTGAGTCATTTTACTGGCCTGGTGTTTGGTATTTTTAAATAATTTATTATTATCTTATGTGTACAAGTGTTTGTGTGCATGTATTTATGTGTACTATGACTGTGTCTGGTACCCTCAGAAGTCAGAAGGGGGTGTTGGATCCTCTGGAACTGGAGTTAGAGAAAGCTGTGGATGCTGGGAACCTGGATCCTCTGAAAGAGCAGCAAGTACTTTTAACCTCTGAGCCATCTCTCCAGCCCCAACTTTGAATATTTTAAAGAGATAGTGAACTTTTAAATTCACTTTTTATTTTTATTTACCTTTTTTTTTTTTTGAGACAGGGTAACAGTCCTGGCTGTCGTGGAACTCATTCTGCAGACCAGCCTGGCCTCGAACTCACAGAGACCCTTTTGCCTCCCAAGTTCTGGGATTAAAGGCCTGTGCCACCTCCTCCCAGCAAGACTGTAGGACTTTTAAAAGTTGGACCTTAAAGGTTATGGTTTAAGAGTGATGTATTTATGTGTCGGTTTGACAAGGGATCATTTATATTCATTGGTCTTTATCAATTTGACACAAATTAGAGTCACCTGGGAAGAGAGACCCTTAACTGAGGAGTTGTCATCATCAGTTTAGCCTGTGGGAATGTCTAAGGGCATTTTCTTGAATGCTAATTGGTAGGGAAGGGCCAAGCCCCCGTGGGCAGTGCCATTCCTAGGCAGATAGTCTTGGGTTGTATAAAAACACAAAATGAACAAGCCAATAAGCAGGATTCCTCCATGGCTTGAGTTCTGCCTCAGGTTCATCAATGATGGACTGTGATTGGGATGTGTAAGACAAACAAACCCTTTCCTCCCCAGTTGGTTTTGGCCAGTGTTTTATCACAACAGGAAAGGCAAACTAGGACACCTGCTTTTGCTTCTGGAGTTTGTCTCTGGTGCATTCTCCCCTGTCCCTCCTGCCCAGGCTCCTATCTCAACACTCATTTTCCCCAGTAGTTTGGCTTCAGAGACCTTCATGCACCTGTTTCTTTACCCTTTACCTGCCACTCCAACTTCCTTCCCAGTACAGTCTGTACTTGCCTGCAGCTGAGGGAATGTGGAGCCCTGTATGGCAGGCAGTTACTGGCTCTACCACAATAAAGCTGGGTCCTGTTGTCTCCACCATGGATTATTGTTCCAAGGGCACCTTCCTTGCCCTGTAGGCTCCATAGTTGACCTGAGTCCCAGTCCTCTGGGTCCTTAACTCCTAACCCCCCCCCTCCACTGCCCTTGAGCTATTAGCAGGGCACTGCTGAAGTTGTATACACAGCTGTCTTCCAAGGTCAAACCTCCACCTCTCCCTCACTATCTGTTGGGTCTAACTGTCCTTGTCCTGATGTTCTGGACTCCTTGCTTACTCACTACCAAAATCTGTATGGGGTGTGCCTAGCCTGAAGCACATAGTTCCTGCAGTATGCCTTTTCCACCCTTGGTCCTGAATGACAATTCTAGAAAGACAATAGAACAAATGACTAGAAAATAATAAGAAAGGCACATGAGGACTGTTGTTTCTCAGTCTTTGTCAGGGATTTGTTCCGGGATCCCATGCGGATGTCCAAATTACACATGCTCAAGCCTCTTGTAGAAAATGTTGCTGGCTATGTGGGAATCATGCCTATAACCCCTGTTCCCAGCAAGTTTGACGCCAGCCTGGGTGTCATGAGACATTATCTCAGAAACAAAAATATACTAAGTAAAATAAAATGCTGTTTTTTGCATACAGCCTAAATATATCCTACTCTAGGTCAGTTATAATACATAACACACTATTGGTGTGTGCACACAGACGTGATAGTGTGTTGTAAGGGACTAATGACAAGAGCAGGAGAAATGTGCATGCTCAGTACACATGCAATGCCCCCACCCCTCGAAGTTTTGTTTTTTAGAATATTTTCAATCTACAGTTTTTGGATCCATGGGTGTAGAAACCACAGATGCAGAGGGTGAACTGTATATGACTCAATTACTTTTGTTTTTATCCTGTGTGTGTGTGTGTGTGTGTGTGTGAGAGAGAGAGAGAGAGAGAGAGAGAGGTTAGAGGGCAAACCTCAGGTGTCCTTGCTTCCACCTTGTGTGAGGTGGGGGGTCTCTTTGTTGTGTTTTGATGTGCCTGGTGGGTGGGCTGGCTCTTGTGTCTGCTTCCCATCTTCCTGCAGGAGTACTGAGATTAGAGATACGTGAACTACTGAGGCAGCCTTCCCATAGGTTCTGGGGTTTGAACTCAGGGCTTCATATTTGCATGGCAAGAGGTTCAATCACTGAGCCATCTCCCCAGCCCAGACCTAAATTTCTATCTATCTATCTATCTATCTATCTATCTATCTATCTATCTATCTATCTATCTGAGACAGTGTTTCTCTGTGTAAGCCCTGGCTATCTTGGAATTTACTTTGTAGAACAGGCTTGGCCTCCAATTTATGAGATCTGCCTGCCCATGCCTCCCAAGTTCTAGGATTAAAGGCATGTGTCACCATTGCCTAGCTAACCTCAATTTTTTAAAAGCCTCAATTCTTTATTGTTGGAGTTAATAATGTTACTCTTTAAGTAGTTATAAAATTGTCTGCAGGTTACTCTCAATTTCTGTTGCTACATTATTGCAGATGTGAACCAACTAGCCCATGGCTTACATTTTGGTTTTTACAATATTTATTTAAACTGGGCGGTGGTGGTGCACACCTTTAATCCCAGCACCGGGGAAGCAGAGGCAGGTGGATATCTATGAATTCCAGGCCAGCCTGGTCTACAAAGTGAGTACCAGGACAGTTAGGGCTATTACACAGAGAAACCCTATCTTGAAAAACCAA